AAGAAGGGGACAACACCCCACTTACCTTCAGGGACGGGGCCCCGGTTCCGACCACACCGCAGATTAAATACCTAGGTTCTGTGATCAGTTGGAAGCACCCCTTTGAGACCGCTTTTTACCACAGAAAGGGCCTATCCGAGCAAGCTTACAAAAAACTCCGATTAGTATGGAACAGCTCAATGGCCCAGAAGCGTAAGCTAGGTATCTTCCAAGCTACGTTCCTTCCAGTCCTTACATATGGCCTTGATGCTCTCACTATAACAGAAAAACAACTACACAGACTAGATGCTCATTACATAAGATTTCTTAGGAGAATAGTAGGCGTGAAAGCATCATACTACTCCCACGTAACCAACCAAGCGGCTTATAACAAGGCAAAGCACCCCAAGTTGCCCTCAGACATCATCGCCGAGCTGCAGTTTAAGATGCTACAAGAAGTCTACAGTACACCCCAGGAGAGCCCCCTGCACAACGTAGTCTTCTCGTCTGCCAATAAGGATAGAATACTTTATCAGGGCCGTAGACGTGGTATGCCCTTTCCGTACTGGATTGACCACGTTACCCGAACCCACTTCCCAGGTCTTCTTAACCACACCGCCCCTAAGAATCCACACTGGAGATATATACTCGTCAAGCGGGCATTGCAGAAGCCTCTTTCAGAGTTGGCGCCAAAGCGCGCGCAGACTAAGCTGCAGCGCGAAAGGCCTCCCTAAAAAAGCTTCATCTGTGAAGCCAGGCAGCGAAGCCAGTGCTACGGGAGAAAGCCAGAAGGCGTTTTCTGAAGGTTGGGGCAGCTTTGTTGAGGTTCCTTAAAGACCTGGGGAGAAAAGGTACCTGCGCAGCAACCTTTTGCAGATCGACCCTCGTCACCGCTATCATCATCCTTATCACCATCGCATCATGATTGCTATCACCAGGTGTCATCACCGTGTCATGATCAATGATATCGCCGTCGTTATCATGATCTTTATCGTCAGCGCCATCACCAGTCTCATTATCGTCACATTTGAAATCGTCGGTTCTAACCATCGCTATCATCACGGTTACCATCACAGCCATCATCATGTTCAGCAACATCGTTGTCCTCATCGTCATACGCGTGTTAAGCGGGAGGTCTTTTTGGGAGGGTCTGGGCCCCTAAACTATGGGTGCCGGGACCGAGCACGGCGTGCCGGGCTGATTGCCTCTAACCTCGTGTAGGAGCGGAACGTGACATATGCGCATTTCAGGGCGTAAAAAAACATGGTGGATTCGTGGGGGCTTGTAGGGCTGCGGACAGGTTGGAAGATGTCTCGGCATATAGCTCAGATAACCAAGATTTTAACACCCTAAACCCCGACCCGCCCTCCCTAAAAACACCCCTAAGTCTCCTCAAGGCCAAGGGTCAAAGGCGGAATCCGCGAGAACTTTCGCCGCTTCGTCTGCAGTCATCTGGAGGATGGACACGCGGCTGCTCCAGGGCTCTAAAGATCGCCGCGCCTCGGCCTTTGAAAGGGAACTGATGCTATTATAGAATCCTCTGTCGCCGCGCCTCGGCCTTTTAAAGGGAACCCTATAGTCTAGAATACTAAATTAAAGGCAACTACAGGTGGAGAGTTTAGGGTATATAGGGCTTCTATAAGGCTTCCATAAGGTATATAGACCTTCTATAAGGCACCTATAACTGTAAATACCCACCTGAAAAAGTCCTAGACTAAACCCCGAAACCCCGAACCCTGAGCCTTCCAGAAGAAATCCTATATTACAGAACCCTATAGCGCCCTTAGGGGCTTAAGACGTATAGAGGGTCCTTGAAAAGAAGCCTATATTCATGAACCCTAAACCCTAAACCTGTAACCCTATAGCACCCTTAAGGGTTCGGGTATGGCAGATTAAGGATCGCTGTGCCTCGGGCTTTCGGGTTTCGGGTTTGGTGTTTAGGGCTGTAGGGCTTTAGGGTTTTAGGGCTTAGGGGTTTAGGAGTTTAAGGTTTAGGGTTTAGGGCTGTAGAGCTTTTAGGATTTAAGGTTTTAGAGTCTAGGAGCTTTACTTTTTCGAACGCCCCGAATGCGAATGGAACGCAAGTCGTGCCCCCCTGAAGACGAAACGCAGTTCTGAAAACCGGACAAACCTCCCAAACTCGAAACCTGGCTCACCCTGAGGCTCTGTGGGGAGATTAGGGTTTAGGGTTTAGGGTTTAGGGGATGCGTATACACACATACACATACACACACACACACAATATCGACAGACACGGACAGAGCGAGAGAGAGAGAGAGAATTTACATATACACATTGATATGTATATATACACACACATATGGGGTCTCCGGGACCCTAATGTAGTACCCTAAATAATAGGATTCTTACTATATCAACCCCAAAATACAGGTACCGTTATTTTCGGAACCTCCCATACATATATATATATATATATATATACATATAGATATAGATATATATATATATATACACAGAGAGAGAGATAGAGTAAGACAGAGCAAGCGTGAGAGACCCCGGTTTCAAAAGCTCTGCCTCTGCAGCGGCTTGGATGCCCATGGCGCCTCTCGCGGCCCTGCTGCGGTTCTGCTCCATCCAGGGGTCGATGGTGAAGATCCGGGCTTGCCTTTCGGGTTTAGGCTTTTTTGTAAGGTTAAGGGTTTAGGGTTTAGGGTTTAGCGTTTAGGGTTTAGGGTTTGGGGTTTGGGGTTTAGCATTTAGGGTTTAGGGTTTAGGGTTTAACGTTTAGGGCTTGGGGTTTAGGGGTTAAGCCTTGAGGGCTTTTTGGGTTTAAGGTTTAAGATGGTACCTTGGCCTGATAATCGTTCGGCTCTTGTCGAAGATGTAGGGGGTGTCGGGATTGCAGGATGCTTAATTAGAAGGATTCGGGTGGCTTTGGGGTTTATGGTTTAGGGTGAAGCTGTTTCCGTGTGTGTTGTGAGTTCGGGATGTCAAGTGAGGTCGGTCCCCGCGACTCTAAAACTCTAAACCCTAGGACCCTAAACCCTACGACCCTTGTACATGAATCAACCCAGAAGCCACAACCGCTGACAGGATCAACCACGTTGCTTCACAGTCTTGAGGACGTGGACCGTGCTGGTTGCTTTACCTGTTCCCACCTTCGGACTTCAGCAAACAGGAATCTCTTATCTAAGGGGTCTGTCTGGTAAGCATCGTACTACTTTGGATCATGAGTAGGGGTCCTCATTTTCTACAACTTGCAGTGTTCGAACTAGGCTTCTTGTTTAAAACAACTGTTAACCCTAAACCCTAAACCCCAAACCCACTTTTTTTTAAACTCTCACCTCCACCATGACCAGCTCCTGTCGCCCGGCACGCAGAGCCTGAGGCAAGAGTGTCCGAAGAAGACTCACCAAGATCTCCTGAGCAATGGCAGTTCCGGGGTTCAAGGGCCTTAGGGTTTAGGGTTTAGGGTCTAGGGCTTTAGGGGATGACGGATAAGGAGCATTTAGTTACAGGAGTTCACCTAGAGGAGATCCAACGGAACGAAATTAGATAGGGGCTTCAAGCATTTAGAACAGGGTTTAAGTTAAACTATAGTATGAGTATACATAAAAAATACATATATATATATATATATAGAGGGAGACTGTGCCTATTATTCAGACCCCTTTTTTGCCGCTATGAGCTTCGAACACTCGAAAACCGTTCATGCTGTGGACCAGAAAGTCTCAGTGTGGTGGAGGCCCAGATCCACGCGGTGGCGAAGGGGGACATCCGCAAGCGGGCCTCTTCCAGCTGCCACTTCCAGAGTGACCTGGTGGTCCATCACCTTAGGGGCTGAGTGCCCTAGCCCAAAAAAAAGGTTAAGCTTTTGAGTTATAGTAGGATCATATAAGCCCCAAAAGGTTAAAGGTTACCTCCTCAGCCACTAAGTCACAGAAACCTTCTCCAGTCCAATTTTGGATAACTCGAGGTTGGTGTACAACACAGGCCCAAGGACAGCCGTGCAAGCACCTCATCCAGGGAGCTCGCTCGAAAAACGATCCAGACTCTTGACCCCGAACCTCGTCAAACCGTCTGTAATTCAAAAATACCCTACTGCACTGCGATGCTGTGGACCCCACTGAAAATCTACACCCTGGGCTAGTGCTGAACCGCTAAAGTCCGTGAACCCCTCTTATGATCCCAGGAAACCCCTGCGAAGGCCTCCCTCGAGCAAGTCGGCTTCCAAAGTGCTCAAAGACTCCTTTGCTTGAACTTCGGGTTTTCCGGGATGCGAACAACAATAGCCACCGATACAACAGTAATAAAACCAACGATACAGACAAAGTAGTAAGAGCAACAAACCCTAAACCCTAAATGGTAAAAATAGCGCAATTAGCCAGACTCATCATCATGAGGCTCTACAGGGGCTTCTCGGCCTTAGGCACGGTAGGGGCTTCGATGGTCGGTGGTTGCAGGTAGAAGCGTTAGGCGAGGGTCAGTCAGGGCTCCTACTGTTGATGATATACATCCTGCATTACTTTCAGGACCCTACACTCTGGGAATTCTGGTATTTCCTTACTATGGGTGATGCAGGACTGATATCATCGACCGTATTATAACAGACCACTATGGGAATTATGGTATATTATGGCACATTGCTGATTCCGGGTTAATGCAGGATTTAGATCATCAACCGTAGTCGCTTGGGAATAGGGTTTAGGATTTCTGATTCCTGAAGCTACAAGGCGCTGGACAAGGTCAAGACTAATATAGGGGCCTTAATACTTAGAATAGGGTTTTAGGGGTTCCTTATATAAGTATGGTAAAACGGGCCTCAAAAACCCATTCTAATGTTTCTATTGCCCCTGTATTAGGTTGAGTTGGGTGGTATCCGGCGTCAGGATTCAGTTAATTACAGTGGAAGCCCAAAACTTCCAAACCCAGTAGCCTCAATCTTGAAGAGCAATGCATAGGGAATCCCAGCACTAATTGTCCTGAACCCGGTTTCCAACTTTTGTGGGGTTCGCTGCTTACTTCCCCAATAGGCCAGGAAAATAAAAGGTTAAACTTTCAGATTGCTACTAAATCATAAGAACCCCAAAAGTTTAAAGGTTGGGTATTGGGGAACCAGGACTATAAGATTTCTGCTTTAACTGGGGTTTAGGGTTCGACTCAGCAACAACAACGCACAACTGTAAGACACGCGCCCCACAAACAGCTCACGGAACGACCCGGCATCCCCAAAACAAGCTTACGACTTCGTAGTCATTAAGGCCCCGATGTTGTAGAAAATCCCTAGGCCCTAAACCCTCAAGAAAGCAGAATGAAACCCTTAAAAAGAAGTACCCTGGAAGGAGACCGTAAAGGAACCGAACCTTGAGAACCCCAACGCCTCTAGACTCAGAGTCTTCTGCTAGTTCTCTGCCTCTGCTTCTTTACGGTACAGGCTTTAGGGCTTTAGGGCTTGGGGTTTAGGGTTTAGGGTTTAGGGGTTGGGGTTCAGAGTTTAGGGTTTAGGGCGTAGGGTTTAGGGTTTAGGGGCTAGGGCCGTTTACGGTTTAGGGCTGAGGGATCCCTAAGCCCCTACAACGCCTTGTATAGACCCCTAGAATTCACAAGCCCACATGTAATCAACTCTAAACCCAAAGCTCCGTGCCCCAAACTAACATGCAATCCCTAAATCCCAAACCCAAAGCCCCTAACCCTAAACCCTAAATCCTAAACCCTGCAAACCCCTAAACCATAATCCCAGAATCTTGAGCTGCCGCCAGCGCCGTCCTGGCCACTTCGCTCGGTGCGCCCAGCCCCGCCTTTGGAGGGGTTTCGGGGTTTGGGAGTTTATGTCGCAGTTGACCGGTTTAGGGTTTCGGGTTTAGGGGAGTGGTTGGGATTTTGGTGCTGAGGGGGTTTGCCATTTTGGTGGTGTTTTCCTGTTTTAGGAGTTTAAAGCTTTAGGGTTTGGGCTGTAGGGCCACTGTAGGGTTCTGAGTTGAGGGCTGGAAGCTTTTGACTTCAGGGCTCGGGGATTAAAAAAAAAAGGGAGCAGGGTTGCAAGGTAATATAGAAGCCTAAATAATCACCAATATTTATTTCTTAGGGTTCCCTACTATAAAAATACCATAAAGCACCCCAAAAACCTATTCTGATTATTAAGGTCCCTATATATATTGCAGCGGTTTAACTTCGAGATCTTATCGGGGATCCGAACATTACGATGTTTGGTGCGACGCAGGTGCATTTTGACTTCGCCGAAACCCTCCGTGACGTCGGCAGAGCTCGCCAAAGTCAGAATCCAGGGCATCCTCCAATTCCGGGCAAGCAGGGAGGCCTCAACCTAAACACACAAATTTCCCTGATTCCTTCACTGCCTGTGCATGTATATATATATATATATATGTACATGGCCATATGGCCAAGAGACCATATGAGGGTCGCAATGGGTCTCTGTCACGCTTGGGATAGGCTCCACCATGGGGAGCTCTGGATAGAACCTCCACCCTATTTATAGTAGGATTTAGGATAGTTTGGGCTTCAGGTATGAACCTCTTGGAACACGGAGATTCGGCGCATGGGCTCTATCCTCACTGTTTGTAGGGTGTGACACACAGTCACACGGTTTCGCGAGCAGCAAGTACACGAAATTATTAGAAACTCGATACCCAAAACTAATTAAGGATAAAAATGTCTTAAATTCTAAGTCGGCTCGCTGGATAGGCTCCGTGAACCTCCCGCCTGCGCCTTGGAAAGGATCTCTTTCGAGCGCACCAATGCCGCCAGGAGCGTTGCTTGGTCACAGGAGCCAACACCCAGGGCAGCGGCACAGCCAGAAGAAATGCACGCGATGCCGCCCTGCGTATTGAGCCAAGAATTGGCCTGATGCAGGCTTAGAGGTCACAGTTTCCGGGATGTGGGTTTGGGATGTAGGGTCACTGTCCGGTTTCCTACGGATGACAAGGTCAACCTTTAACGTGTTGGACAGGGGTTATGCTACCCAATTGGATTGAGAGCTTCGGTTAACCCTAAACCCCAAACCCAAACCCCCTGAACACTAAACCGTGTCGGGCACTGTTGGCCTGATAGAGGGGCTCGGCCACATACTTGTCCACCGCTTGCAGAAAGAGCCTTGTTGACTCCAGTTCCTGCCAAAATCCAACGTCGGCTCGGGGCTTAGGGGTTTAGGGTTTAGGGTCTAGGGTTTAGGGTTTAGGGTTTAGGCTCGCAGTCCTCTAAATCACCTAAACCCTTAACCTGAACCTTGAACTCCTAAAGCCGAAACCCTAAACCCAAACTGCACTAGGGTGTGGACATTAACATCCTCGCAATTTGATGCCTCTTGTTCTGGGATCCCTTTACGACTTGTTCCACCAACTTCAAGCAGATCATATTCTGGTGAGTCTGTTTGTGTTCTAATGGAAGACTCCGCGCTCAACCCGATGAGCCCTCCTGCGGCTGCTGTTGTGTTCGATGCTGATGAAGCTGGCATTAAGCCCTCCATCCCTGCCTTCCTCCCTGCCTCCCTCCCTTCCTGCCTGTCTCTCTCTCTCTCTCTCTCTCTCTCTTTCTCTCTCACTATCTCTCTCTCCCTCACTCTCTCCCTCTCTTCGTAGCCATGGTCCGAGTTTTGATGCATCCGCCAGCCAAGGTTGGCATCTGCCGCGCGCAGCACTGGCCGGCTTTCCTGGGGGCTGATTTCTTGGCGCTTCAAGGAGGTCAAGACTTAGAGTTGATTATATGAAGGGTTTCGGTGTTAGGGTTTGGGGATTAGGATTTTGGATTTAGGGCTTAGGGAAGAGGGATTGAGGATTTAGGGTCTAGTTTAGGATTCAGGGTCCGGGGATTCGGATTTAAAGCGTCTAGGATTGGTTAGGTTCGGGAATCTCAACCCCCGCCGTTGGAAGAGTTTCATCATGGAGCTATGGGGTTTGTATCTCACATGGTAGAAGCCCAAAAATTGAAAACCCAATAGCCTCAATCCCTAAGAGCACAGGGAATCCTAGCACTATGTGTCCTTGATCCGGTTTCCAACCTTTTGGGGTGTACCATAACCCAAAACAAAGCAGGGTTTGGGGCTTCCCTGGTATTTGTATCAGAGCGTGTAGGCTTGTTCTTGCGGGTTGAGGGGTTGAGGTTTTCGGTTTATTATGAGCGTGGAGGACTTGTGCTGCTACCGCTTCAGAGTCGGTAGAATCAGGGTTTGCCATGGTAGCGGTGTAGAGGGCTGAGGGTTTGGCAGTCACGGTTGAGGGCATTTTAGGGTTAGTCAGGGCCCACCATTCAAAACCTTCTAAAGCCCCATAGAACCCTGTAATAGCCTGTAAGCGCCAAAGGCCCTAAGCCCTTAACCCAATTGCAAACCCTTATAAAGCCTGATAGAAGCCCCATGGACCCTTAAACCCTCAGCCTGAACCCTAATGTAGGGTTTTTAATCACTAGAATAGGGTTTTGGGCTCGTTTCTAGTATAGCTCTAAACACGGAAACCCTAAAAGCGAGAGTATTGGCAGTTATATTAGGCTTCTATATTGAAACCCTAAACCCTAAACCCTAAACCTCTAAACCACTAAACCCTAACTAAACCCCTAAACTCTAACTAAACCCCTAAACCCTAAACCCTAAACCCCTAAACCCTTAAACCCCTAAACCCTCAGCCCTAAACCCTAAACCCTATAAGCCCATTTAGGTATCTGCACCCCTAGAACCCCTTGGAGCCCCGGAAAAGCCCCGGTCCTTGTGCCAGGCGCCTGGGCCATGGGAGGCGTCGGAGCCAGGAAGGAGCCATGGCCACAGATGAAACCAATTCATTGAAGTTTGGGGTGTAAGCTTTAGGGTTTAGGGATGGCCACAGATGAAACCAATTCAATGATGTTTGGGGTTTAGGGATTATAGAGATGAGGGATTAGGGTTTAGGGTTAAGGGTTTAGGGTTTCGGGTTTCGGGTTTAGGGTTGATGAAACCAATTCATCGAGGTTTGGGGTTTGGGGTTTAAGGCTGTTTTTTGGGGGGTTCGGGTTGAGGGTTTAGGGTTAAGGTTTCGGGTTTAGGGTTTACCGTTTGGGGGCTTGGGGACACGATTGGAGGGGTTTGGCGTCTGGGGGGGGGTTTGGAGTTGAGGCATTCGGTTGTTTTTTGTTTGAGGGCGTCGGGTTTTGGTTCGGGGTTTGACCTTCAAAGATCTAGAACGCTATACAATATAAGTGCACTACACATTGCAGTGAGAGGCCTAAGGAATCGCATTGCTAACTGCTCAGTCTTCTACCTTACACTTTGGGGGTTTATAGAGGCTCATGTCATGGGGTTGACGACTTGAGGAGTTTTGGGGATTCAGGAGTCTCTCAAGGGCTCCATGTGGGTATGGGGGTGTAGGATTTAGGGCTTAGGGTTCTCGGGGCGTAGGCCCTACAGTATACTTTAGGGTGCAGCGGCTGGGTTTCGGGGTTGGGGGTTTAGGGGTGTAGAGGGGTTTGGGGTTTAGGGTGCTTAGGGTGTCTAGGGCTTCGGGATCGACTCTTGATTTTGTTGGGTAGGGGGGTCTGAGCTATAAGGTCTGAGCAAAATCCAGGGGGAAAATCTCTTGAGGTGCATGTCCGTTCGCAGGGGAATCTCGTCCCTACTTGGAGGTTCATGGGCAGTTACAAGTAAGGCTTAAAAATCCCCTAATATCGTTACCCTACTTATCACCCCACTTGAAACTACTCACATGAACCTCCAAGTATGCTCGTCTTTAGGTTTGGCTTTTGTCGGGTTTCCGAGCTCCAAACCCATAGTGCACCTGCACGGGTCCGAGAGAAGCGTCAAAGCCTTATAACTAAACCCTAAACTCCGAAACCCTAAATTCTAAACCCTATTGCCCGTTGGCATGTTACTGCGGCCGCAGCAACTCCTGTAACGACCAGAGATGGCAGGTTTCGCTCCAGGCGGAAGTGTCTGTTGTCGCCTGTGCATGATAACTTCTGTGTTAGACCGCAGCTTTTGATGTCAGTGCTCGTAAGTCTCTAAGCCCCGAACCCTAAACCAGTGTTGCACTTGGCCTTCTTTTCTTTGCGCCTGCCTCCCCCGTGCCACGGAATCTGCTCTGGGCTACTGCTTGATTCCTTGTACCCATCCTTGACATCCCAAGCGCGCGGATTGAAGTCTTGGGAAGCCACGCAACCCCTAAAACTCACGTTTTCAATGCGGCGCCCTTGGTTCTGAAATACTTCGGAAACTAAAAGACTAGAAGCCGAAAACCAGCGTTTAGGGTTTAGGGAGATGACTGCGATATTCACTTCACAGCCCTCAGCCCCAAACCCCATGCAAGAAGCGAAGATGCGGCCGAGAGTTTCAGTACGTCGCTGGCGCAGGAACGGAACTGAACCCTGCAGCACAAATGAGATATGAAGAACTCTAAAGCCCCAAACCCTAGCCCCAAAGAACCCTAAGCTCTAAAAAACATAATCCACCCTAGAACGGCATATGGCCGAAGGTTCAAGATCCGGGACTGAGGGACCCAAGATCCGAACACAGGTGCCTTTGGGGCGGGGTGGCTATGGTTTGGAAGGTTTTTGCTGGGAAGGAGCACAAACGGGATGCCGTGAAACCAATGAAGACAAAGGGGATGTCACACTAGTCCTAGACCCTAAACCCTAAACCCTAAACCCTAAACCCTAAACCCCTAAACCCCTAAACCCCTAAACCCTCAACCCTCAACCCTAAACCCTCTAAGCCAACGGATATCAGGGAACCAGGGAGGCTACAGCTCGCTTTCGGCTTTCTTCCGGAGTTCAAGTCGAGTCATGGCTTCAGAAATTTTCGTGGCGCACGAGGCCTGCAGGGGTTAGGGTTTGGGGTTTAGATTTTAGGGTTTGGGGTTTAGGGTTTAGGGTGATAGGGTTCTTGATTGAGAATTAAGGCTTGATGTGCAGATTTGGGGTAAGGCTGGACTGAAATGGGGCTGACGGCTCGTAAGGCTTACAGTGAACACGCTTCGCGTATGCGTTGAGGATTCATGGGTCATTGGAAGGAATCAAGCGTCTCAAAGCCTAACCGTGTCAGCTTCACTTTCACAGGGGAGGTTGCCCACAGGGCGACGGCATAAGACAGCCGCGGCCACTTGTCTCGCAGCATCGCCGCTGCCGCATCGCGCATTTTCTCGGTCTCCTCCCGGCTTTCAATCATCGACCCAGGATGCTGTTGATGATATAAATCTTGCATTACCCATGACAAGGAATATACCATAATTCCCATAGCTTAGGGCTCTTAAGGGCATGCAGGGTTTATGTCATCAACAGTATCAAGTTGTTGAGGGATGTAGGGGTTTCGAGCAAGGGTCTGCAGCTCAAGGGCTTGGGCCTTCAAGGTGGCAAGAGGGAGGCCTGGAGCATTTCCATAGGGGCAGGGGATACGGCTGATGATATAAACCCTGCATTTCTATAAGAACCCTCAACTATGGGAATTATGGTATATTCCATATTCTGGGGAATGCAGGATTTATATCAACCGTAGTTGCCGTAGTTCTATGATTATATAACTATAGTATGATATCCCCCAAACCCTATTCTGACTACTAAATGCCCCTATATTACATGATTTGACTTTTCAGATTCCCAGCAGTCACGATTGGACTCCCACAGCCTCTTGAACCATGCCTCAAACTACCATAACCTACTGCTCTGTAGAGTCTTATATATGAAGTCCTCATATAGACTTCACTTGCAGGTCAAAGTGGGGCAAGGGGAACCCAAGGGACTTAATTGTTTTAAAGGGGCTTAAGGTTCAGGGCACTCTGGAGGTTGATTGAGAATAGGGGTTTGGTTGAACTATGGGTTAGGGATCGGGGATACCTGTGCCAAGTAGTAACTATACTTGTTCATGTTCATTCCTTTGTTCTGGAGTTGGGGGTTTGTGAGGTTGAGTCCTCCTCTTGGCTCGAGTCGTCACCAACCACGCGCTTCTTGCGAAACAGTCGCAGGCACTCGCGGTTCACGCAAACCTGGTTGGAATTGAGGCTCGAGAGTTCAGGGTTTAGGGGTTTAGGGTTTAGGGTTTAGGGTTTGGGTTTAGGGTTTAGGGTTTAGGGTTTAGGGTTCAGGGTACCTGACTCAGTGCAAAGTGACAAGTGCTTTCTCCCATCCCCGGTCATCTCTAAGTACAGCCCAAGAAGAAAGTCTGAAACAGGGAATGCCCAGATCCAATTCCCGGAGCATAGTCACCATCATAGAACCATGCCCGTAGAGCCGTGTTAATACAGAGATCTAGGGATGTAGCGAATTATCCTAGCATCTTGGCGTTGGTATCACAATCGGGGAAACTTAAGAAACCTTAGCCGCCAGTCCCACGACTAGGGCCTTTGTATCAGGATCCTCTATTTAGTGTCATATTCTTTGAAGCCGCGCCATGCAGGCCTCTGGAGGATAGGGGCGATTCCGAAACGATGCACCGGTTCGAAACTGGGCCCTCTCTGAAGCTTCCCTATAGGAATAATGATAGAAATAACGATGATCCTACTTAAAATGTTCAACACAAGCTCTGCGCGGACTCAGCGGGGTTCAGTTGCAGCTGCACGTCCAGATTCAGAGGGGCAGGGAGCAGCTGGCTTGTTATTTAGGGTTTAGGGTTTAGGGTTGAGGGTTATATTAGAGTTTAGGGTTTAGGGTAGCCCTTTATCCTGCATCCTACTTCCTACACCCTGGATTCTACCAAGACCCTATAACATGTACTACCTTTTGCTTTGGATGACGTATTTCTTCCATAACAAGAAACTGAAGTAACCTGAAGTAACCAAGAGAAAGTACTACATTTTTTGAGGGTCTAGGTATGCTTTAACATCCATATCTTGTATCGTACTAGACTACGGAGACTGCCACAGCAACCCCGCATAATGAATCATGAAACCACCTAAACATAATAAACCTGCATGAAGAAGCTGGAAAGCCCCAAAACCCTCAAAGCCTATACTCGACAACCCTTGTACTCTAAACGCCTGAAAACCAAACCCAATGCCCTAAAGCCCCGAACCCTACACCCTAAACCCTGCACCCTAAGCCCTGAACGGTAAACCCTACACCCTAAACCCCAAAACCCTAAACCCTAAACCCTAAACCCTAAACCCTAAACCCTAAACCCTAGACCCTAAACCCTAAACCCTAAACCCTTAAACCCTAGAACTCTAAGCTCTAAACTGCCCCACCGGTGCCTGGATCCGGTCTTCGATCTCCATGAACTCCGCCTGCAGCTGCCGGTACTCGCGCTCGAGCTCCGATGGAAGGCGCTGGGGCCTCCCAGGTTTAGGGTTTAGGGTTATAGGGTTATATAAGGGTTTAGGGTTATAGGGTTTAGGGGTTTAGGGTTATAGTGTTTAGGGT